AACCACCCCGACCACTACGTCGCCCATATCACCCTCTCCAGAGATGGCCGGAAACCATCCGCCGCCGTCGCAGCCGCAAGTTCCTCCGTTCGGCTCACTAAAATTCGCCTCCTCAAGCACAAGGAGATGCTTCTCATTGGCGAAGTATACCGCCTAATGACCTCCGAAGGTAAATTTTCAAACCTTTCAGTTCCATCCACGTCTATCAACAGTGAGAAAGATCCGATTTTTATTCTTTTCTGAAACTATTTTCCTCTGATTCTTCAGAGGTGACGAAGGAGTTGAGGGCGAGGAAGCAGGAGAGAGTAAGGCAAGCACAGAATGTTCAGGTCAAGCAGCAACAGGAAGAAATCCAGCAGCATCTACTTCAGCTGCTTCAGCTGCATAATCAAAGAGCACAGGACAGAACAAGTATTAAAGATTCTACGGATTCTAGTGAATCTGGTTCTCAAATGATTGATCAGGTACAAATCTAGTTAATTTCTCCCTTCATTATTTAAAATTTCTTCCCTTTTTTTTGTTCTGTGGATTGAAGATCATGGTTTGCTCTCAGGCAGCGAAGAAGCTGAGAAACTCCAGGACTTGGCGGCCATCTCTTGACAGCATCTCAGAGATCCTAAGCTGATGAGATTTTTACTGTTGATTGCAGAGGGAAGGAGATGAGTCCTACTTCTGAATCAGATGACAAAGAAGATGTTCTTAGGTTTCCTGACAAGTTCTGAAATTTAGATTTTTGATGGTTTTATTTCGGAAGGGGATGATTAAAAACTCTGTAATACATCAATCAGAGGTTGGTAGCCAGTCAAGAATTGCTTTAATTAGTCAGGAATACAGCCTTTGATGCATTTCTGATAGCAATCTGTCTGACAATCAATCTGAAACCTTTTTTGTCTTTTGTTTAAGATAAGTTTGGTGTAATGTTAAATATAAAATTTCAGTTCTGAGTTTTGAAAAAAGTTATAACATTTTAGTGTCGCATACAAGAAACTCACAGCATAACTGAGAAACAATTTTTTGTATGTGGAAATTCAGAAAGAAAAGTTATGAACTTTATCTCAATTAAAAGAAGATTATAATGGTTTTTCTTTTTCCATTTATGAGGCCTGAGGTCTATGAGCTGTCTTCTGTATTGATGGTGCAGGATGTTGGGAGGGAAGTGGCATTGATGGGTAAATGTTGGATGTTTAGTGGCGTTGACTTTTGAAATAACAATGTTGGAATCGTTGACTTCCGTATGGGATGGGATGAATGTGCATGTGAAGTTCTGAATTATAGGAGAAAAAGTATTATATATGCTGAACTTATGTGAGAAATAAGACGCAAATGTCAGGAAGATTTTTTTTTGTTGCATCTCAATTGTCCACGTCTGTTGAACATATGTATTATTTTCTTGAATTATATATTTAAAGATTAAGATAAGAT